GTCAGGTCGATAATGGAACCGGAGCATGCTCTATTGTATGTTTCCTGGTTGCCCTCGATGAGAAAAGCCAGGTCCAGGGGTGCTAGGATCTCCAGCGAGGCTCTGTCTCTGGCATTCGTGATGGAACTCCCCCACGCGTTAAAATACCCTGCTATTAGCACTGGGTGTTTGCCTCTGGCATCTACCGCTAGCTCTTCTAGAGCCTTGCAGTGCGCATAGAGGGAGACGCTTGGGGCTAGGTAGCAACTATACACCCATGTACCTCCTCACTGGATTCTCATGAACTCTTCAGCTCTCCTCACTTGACTTGGCCCTTCCGCGGAACTGTTGTAGATCCGGATTGCCCCCTTGCACTGGTTGCTGGTCACCCACTCCTCGCCTGGTCCGACGCTGAACGACTTGCTACGAACAGCTATGTCGGCATTCACTTCGCGGTGTGTCGCATAAGGTCCTGCGCCGCTCTGCAGTGATTCAGATTGAGCTGGATCACTTGCATCCTGCACTATATTTTACTGCTTCTTTGGAGTGCGTACACAGTCGACCTCCTGCTAGGTGTTTGCTTCGCCTTTTGAAGCGCAAACGTAGCACGTACTCTCGTTTGGGCAATTGGCGATTTTATGCCCGCTTTTGCCACATCGGATGCAGCTCGGCCAGCAGCTCGAAGTGGATGGAAATTCGGTCACGACAGGGAGTCCACTTCCGTCGCTAGCGGGTCGAGGTCCCTAATCGCCAGGTACTTTGTCTTACTGTCCTCGGACAGTGCTCGCACTTCAGCAGCTCTCTGTAGCACCTTTTCCAGGTTCTCTCTCTTAGAGTCCGTGCTATCCATACGGTTTTTTGACAGCTCGAGCAGAAGGTTCCCAGTTGCGGTGCGCTGGACCTTGTGGACATTTTGGCTAAATTCCTTTAGCTGGCCGGCAAGCAAGGCAAACACCTCTCTATACTTCATCCCCCTGGCTTCCACGACTAGCGCGTCGGGTCGGGTGGACGTCCTTGGCTTCCTCCGAGTTGCTATTTTCCATCCTGTTCCTGGCGATGCGGTCTGTGCGGCCATGCCCTGCCCCCTACTCCCGCGCTACAGGCGTCCGGGTGACTTGAAGTCCGCTGGGAGTGCCCATCTCTTGCCGAGTTTATAGGGGCCTTCTCCGAGGCCAGTGGTGCGCCTCTTGGTGGTGGAGCCGTGATGTCCTGGCTAAGCCGTCGCCACGGATCAGCCTTCGAAATATCTGCCTGACCGCACCTCGAACAGAAAACTTCCGCTGCCGGCGTCCCTGCATCGCTGGGGTTGGATCCTCTTTGAGATTGATGCTCCGCATACTGGCGCAAGGCTACTCAATTGTCGTTCTCGTACTCTTGGCTGGAGTCGATCTCTGGGGTTCCGAGGGACTTGTTTGTTCCCTTCGTCTTTTTTGGGGTTTCCTTTTCTTCACCCGCGGGAACACCGCCTGTTGGCATCGCTGTGCTCCGTGTTGCCTGCAGAATGGGTGACCGCAGGATCTTTGAGCTGAGAAAAAGGTGAGGACTGCTCCGAATTTTGTTGGCTAGTCGCTATTACTGCCGGGGCGGCCAAGCTAGCCACCGCCTCGTCAGTCGTGAGTGGGATGTTTTTTGGGGCCTCCCGAATCCGTGCCCCGACCGTGGGTTTCCCCACGGGTGAATTTCCACTTGAGTGGTTGCCACATGGAGTCTTTACGTTATTAAACATCATCCTTCAGGTTGTGCTTTTTATACCTACTGCCAGGTTTGCATTTTATACCTTCTGCCAGGTTCGGGGTCCGCTGCCGGCCACTGTGGCTCAGACGCAGACCCCGTAGACGCCGATTATGGGACAGACGCTATTTTGAAGTTTTTGAGTGTGAATGGGAGGGTGTAAAATTTCTCCTGGAGACGCCCTCTGCGGGTGGCAGTAGCAGAGACGATAGGGCGCCCTCTTCAGGTACTACCGATTTGGGCGGGGCTGGTCACACTGCTGGTCAGCTGCGATCCGCATCACTGACCAGCACAACCCAAATTGGGCGAATTTGCAACGCGGGAAAAGCGTTACCCCCAAAAGAGAGGGAGAAAGCTTACCCCTGCCACCCCTGTCCAGCGACGTCAGCTGGGGGCTCCGGAGCCAGCAAGCCGAGAAAACGGACCCACGGGGAACCCTTCGTTCCTGCATCCCAATCATCGCGACTGATTGACATAACGTTGAAAAAGTGCAACTGATGAAGAATATGCGCGTTTAAATGCTTCGGTATCCATCCGCCGAAACTTTCTCTACACAACTGTTAGATATGGACAATGGGAAAGTTGCTGTACGTGAAAAAAATGGATTTACTGGAAATAATGGATAATATTTATTGACCAAAATTAAAAAAACAACTAGCCCTTCTAGAAAACAAAAAGGGGCCAAACAAAGTTTGGCGGGGTTGCTTGTTAACTATAAAAACAGTTTGGCATCAAAAGTATTTCAAAAAACCTCCCAGTACTGGCGCTACAGAAAATTATGTGGGTTGAAGGGGTATGCTAAAACTTGAAACAAACTTGAACTGCGTAGGCATTATAGGAGTCTCCATGCCAAATTATATAGCACTGTATCTTCATACGGACATTACTATATCGACTCGAGTGTTGGTGCTGATCAAGTCTATACATATACTAGCTGGTCCGGCAAACATTGTTTTGCCACCAGATGACTTTATAATTTCAGTAAAAAAATTTACTCAGTTCTAGCCTTATGTATTATAAAGTCATCTGGAGCGCTTTGAACCATAACAGAATATAAAAATAACAAAAATAATAAAAAAAATAACATTACGTTCAATAATTTAATTGTTTTGTTAAATGATTTATGATAAAATTCATAATCAATAAGTACCTTATACAGGATCTCGATGTTTTATGTTTATACAATATCCGTCTTGTCCCTTCCAGAATATTAGCGTATGTTAAAGTGCTTCATATGAACCATGATAAAATTATACAAGGTAGTCCATATGGCTGACAAATCGTTCGGGTTTTGGTCCCTTAATTTCAAACTGTCAAACTGAAAGGTGATTTTGTTTTCACAACTTTAAGTTACCAAGTAAAAAAATTACTTTTTGCAGTTCTTGACGCAAGCACGTGCTAGGCGTAAAGTTTGTTTTTTTTTAGTTTTTTAAAACTTAAAATTTAAAACTGACTTTAGAATTACTTTTGAATTAAGAACTTAAACAAGAGAATGGAACAAGAGAACTGTCTAAAAACAAAAATAAATAATAATGTCAAACTGAAAACTTATTAAAATAAATTTATAAATACTACAACTCTTGTCATAACTAAGAAAAACTTTTAGCCCCATGCCCCGTGTGCGGGTTAATCGAAGTTCTGTATAGCCGTTTCACTCACACTATTCAACGCATACTCTGTTAAAATTCAAATAAGGGACTATAATTCAACGAATGGACTACCTGATTAGAGGTAGATTATTATTTTTCTACAAACAAAATTTCTCGAACAGATATATGCATTGAATCTATGAATATGCTGGTGCTTTATCAGGATTTATGACGATAGCGTGATTATCGCTTTGTAATTGGTGCATATGTGATTTGAATATTTTCAGCAATTCATTGTGCTCGTTCAATAGAGCATCTAGCTCACTGTTGATACGTCTGGTACAAAATGAATCAAGGTTATTAGAATCACAACGTGCATTCACGCGATTGGCAAGTGCGCTTCCGGAATCCTCGCCGCCCATAAAGTAGATTCGTAAGAATTTGTGGTTCGTTTGGCATTGCAAGCAGTGAGCCCATTTTATGATAAATTTGGCCTCGGATTTTGAATGTAGAATTGTAATGTTGACCATTTGCATTAGTATTTCGAACTATTTCTGTTTCTCCGAACGATGTCATTTGAAAGCATGAATTGAATGTTCGAATTGACTCCAGGAACACGTTAGAATCTGGATCCGTGCTGATAAGTAAGCCTGACACGCAACACATCCCAGCTGGCTCATTTTTGAATTTCAGAGCATTACAATGCGGACATTCCTTGTCCATAGCACCAATTACCAGTTTTGATTGAGCACAATACTCAATATCGGGCTCATACTGGAATTCGAGACGCAGGAATGAATCAGATATAAATGCTCGATGTACCTGTTGTCTTAGTTGGTCATTTGTTCTGCGTCTATTGACTGTGAAACGGGGATTGTCGGGATTGTCGTTGTTCTAATCTTCTGACTTTATTGCGTTCAGCTCGTGTATCTTCTGGCTCTTCTTATTGCAATTGCGCTATTCTAACACGTACATCAGTATTTTGTTGCAACATAAATAGCCAGTACATTATAAAGTCCTAATTTTTAAGATAGCATTATGATGAGTCAAAAATATAAAAAAATATATATATTGGCAAAAAATGATGTGTCAACTCTGCCTGGTCAGTGAGTGAGTGTTTTGAAACAATTCTTAACTCTGGTCCCTGGTTACAACCATACATTTTTGCTCAAATATGCCGGAATTATTGAAATCATCTGCGTGGATCGTAGCATACTTGTAACCAAAAGATTGTATGAAAGCAGTAAATTATACTGTACCTTTTTTTTTATCAAATCCGAACCAAACCAACCAAACTCAGATTAACTGTTTTGAAATTGGGTTCTACTTGAATCCCATTGAATTGCTGTAGCCAGTGAAGTTATTTTATTGAATTTCTTTTTCGTTAGGGTAATTATATTATTAATAATCATATTCGTTTCTGTTCTCTCAAAGGGATCTAGACCATATCTCTACAGACTCCAACACAATGCGTTCTTTTTGCCGCCCCAAATCAGATCCCCAATTTGGAATTATAAGTTAAACGATTTTCACTAAAAATCTGTTTCAATTTTTACAAAGTAATAATAAACCCCTTTTAATTTTGATCAATTAATATCTACCTCAAGGGTAGAAATCACAAAAGTTCGGGCTCAATTATTCGATCTGAATCCGGACTTACCCATTAAATTAATAATAATAAATAAAATAAATTCATTAAACTTCATATTCTCATAGTCATTTTTTTATTTTATAATAAATGGTTTCAGTTTTAACAAATGCGAAATCCTGATTTGTTATTTAAGTGCATTAAAAAATAAGTTTTAAATTTTATACTCAAGCTTGCTGCTAGCAAAACATAACAATAGAAAATTAATTATATAATTGCGCTGAGGCGTGTATACATTCACAGTTAGCTTACAGAAACAAATTTTTTCACATTAATATTTTTAATTCAAAGCTAAATATACCAACTGATTTATAATTGTTTTTACTTATGTATATAATTAAGTTTTTGGTTGACTTTGAACCCACAAGTTCACGTTTACAAACGAAGGCTTCGGCTTGACCAAGTTATTATAATTTTTAAAAAGGGATTGGAAAATGTGAACTTCAAGCCATAGCAACAAAAAACATTTTATTAAGTACGCATTTCAGAAAAATCACTTTGTGTAACTAAAGGTCAAACATTTTTTTGTTACAAAATTTACAATATATTTTTGTTGAGTGGTGTATGTAATCCAATAGCAAGTTGCCCTATTTTTACGGATAAACGTTGAAGAAAATAATTAATAACAAGTTACAAAAATTCAATTTGGTACACTACATTCGTGGAAATTTAACACCATAGTTAGGAAGCTTATAGCTACCTAAAAAGAAAAAAGAAATTCATATATTTTTTATGAGCGTTAAATATACTCTAAATGTTTTTAAAGTTTTTTTTCCGTGGAATCTTCTAATTTAGGCAATAAGGGTGTAGAGGCAGCCGTGGTATCTCTGTCGTCATGTTCTCCATTTTGATCAGCGGCCAGTTCAGAAATAACTAAGCTACTTATTGAAGCGTTATCTGTTTGCTCAGACGTTTTTCGATGGGGCACACTTTTATCTTCATGGGATACATTTGTCGGAGACGAAGTTAGGCTTCTGTTTGCCTTTGATTGTCGCGTAATACTTTGAGACCCTGTTACAAATCGGGGCTTTTCATCTTCCGTTATTGAATGCAATAGTCGTTCAACTTCATCGTCAAATGTCTCACTTGAAAATGTTCCAGACTTACGACTCTTTTCTAATAAAGTTGCTTTTTTGGCCGTAAGATACAACACCCGTTTAATAGCAATATATATAACGTCTGATATAGCTCGAACAGAGTAATCAGGTACAAAGGATTGTCGAATTTTTGAATCCATGTTTAGGGACTGCAAAGATCCCAATTGAGTTGGAGAGTCTGTAAAATGTTTAATTATATTAATTATATATTTATATACAGTGATGTTTGTTGAACAGAAAGGCAAATTCTTTATACGACTTTAAATAAGATATTTAAATATAAAAAGGAACAATTCTATTTTTAGATCAGTTCATCTTTGTAGCGTTTGTAGCGTTGTAACGTTAAAAACGACCAAAGAGAATTAAGAACGGGAAATGTTAAATGGTTAACATACTACTATTTTTAGCATCAGAGATACACAGAATAAATTTTAAGAATTGTAAAACTTTATAAAAAAATAAAAATTAAACAACTTGTTATTGTTTTCTTTAATTTTTTTTGTTTTTACAAACTTTTAAAAGTTTTTCCAAAAGTGTACTGAAAAGGTCTCAAAAACACCTACGCAGCAAGGCAATGGCAATGATCTATGAATATTTAGATTTTGAAACTTTGAAGTATGTTGTCAAAATGATTTCATTTTGACCCAGAGTTCAACAAGTTCATAGACGTTTCCTCTTAACTATTCCTTTGGCATCTTTCGTATAATTGTTCTGCTTAAGCACCTGTATTAGTGACATTTTACACTCTGCAACCTTTTGCACGTTGCCTTTAACCACTAACCATACAGCATATAGACAACCCATTTCATACAACGAAAATGGACGCGAAAATTTCTTGCGACAGGCCCCAGCAGGCCCCAGAGCGGATTTCTTACGCTCTCTTACGCTCATCGTTCGTTCATCTTACGCTCATTCTCTCATTAAATTTTTTCTGTTTCTCAGTCTCTAAACGGAGCGCGATGAAGAAGGTTGGCCTGCGCTTCGATCAACCGAATGTATGTATGCGTGTCACACATTCACTTACATGGGTGTATGTGTGCGTGCGATTTCGTTTCGAAGCCAGCGCACAAAATTTTGATTTTTCTTACTTTTCAGGCTTGCTACCCTAACCAAATTCGGGTATTCGTTATTTGATGAAATGACGAAAGAAATTATATTATTTTTTATATTATATTTTTATTATTTCAGCATACATTTTTAATTTATTTAGGAATAAGATTAAGTGTTAGTAGTAAAATGTTTTCTGTATATATATTTTTACGAATCATTAAAAATCAATATACTGAGAAAGTGTCAGAGTATATTTCAGTCGGAGTCACTTAAAACGCCGATTGCTTTTAAGTTTTTGTTGTTTTGCAAGAGGCTTGTGCATGCCTACTCTAACGATGGAATGATTTTTAGGGGAGGGTGAAGACACGAAAACAGCTGATGGACTTGTTTACCTTTTTTGTTTACAATTTTTCAGGCACTTGTTATTATTTTGGGTTATTGTGAGATTTTATTAAATTATTGTCGTTAATTTAATAATTTCCCTATATATTTTGGAACTTTAAAAAGTCGCCGCTCGAATTTATAAATATTATAAATATATATATATATTTACATTGGTTTTATGCTTATGGATTCTTATATGGTTTTATGATCTATAGTGCATATCTTATTGTATGATCTGCTGTGTAATTTAAAATATATACATGAATATAAAAATGTCACTACCGTATTTACACACCGTCATTTCCCTGTGGCATGCCTTTGGAGTTCTTGGCAATGAAAGTGTTAACTTGCGCGCCAAAACTATTTTTTTCTGGTTTGTTTTGATTCTTGTAATTTTTGGTTGCCACTTGGCTTACCCACCAACCTAATTTACCCGCCTAAAATATTGCCATTTGATGAAAAAGAGGAAAATGGTTTAATCGGCATTCTATTTTTGTTCTGTGAGGAGCGTTTTTCGTGAGGACCAAATTAAGTGCTGATTTTTGTGAACAAAGTGATTAGTATCGGTGTGTTAACGTATTTTTCGGAAATATTTTTACTAAACGTAAACTTTCCGAGCGTCCGTGGCTACATCATCATCAATTGCAAGTATAAATCTAGTTATTTAAACCTTAAATAATTTATTTAAATATTCGGTTTAAATATTTTTGAAATGAATCGGCCTAATGTTAGGAAAAATGGACGCAAGTGCATTATTGCATCCTGCCAGGGGAGTTACAGGGATTCATCACACTCCATTCCAATTAGATTGTTTTCTTTTCCATCGGATGATAGGAATCTTAAGAAATGGGTTGAATTGTGCCAATTGGATGACACTTTTAACAGACGAACTGCGCGAATTTGTAACAGACATTTTGAAAGTAAATATATTGGGAAAAGTAGGCTTAGAAGCAATGCCGTACCCACTTTAAATTTATGTGACAATTCACTATTGCGTCCGAACAGTACTGTTCCATGTGAACAATTTGAATTTTGTGATGATGGGGCGGAAGAACCAATTGGCACTTATATTAACCCAATAGGAAGAAAAGAGTTTTTGAATAGGGTAGGTAGCCCTTCCAATTTAGAAACTCCCAATTTAGAAAGTTCACCTCAGTTAGAAGATTTTTGTTCAAATTGCCAGAAGAGGGAAGAAAATGAGAGATTTTACAGAAAAAGAATTATGAGATGTCTCTTGAACTAAAAAATACAAAGAAAAATGCAAAAAATGAGAAAAATTCTAGTAGACGCAAGGGTATGAGAAATAGTAGAAAAAGCACCCTAAATTTATTTAATATTATAAATAAATTACCTCATGTTTCTGATGAGGCCAAAACATTATGCAAAATGCTGCTAAAAAAATCGAACTCATATAACAGCGCAGAAAAAGTGATAGCCCAGAATATAAATTTTTATTCTTCGCGAACGTATGAGTACATGAGGGATGTTTTAAAGTTAAAACTTCCTGCCAAAAGTACGTTGTGTCGATGGGCTCTTTTTAAAAATATGACGCCAGGATTTCAACCTGATTTTCTAGAAAACCTCCAGAAAATTGTTGGTGAAATGAGCGAGAAAGGTAAAGAAGCAGTGATCCTTTGTGATGAAATAAAAATCAAAAAAGGACTGCAATATAATACCGCTCTCGATGAAATTCAGGGATTTGAAAATGATGGTGAAAAAAGAACTCGATTTTTAGGGCAGCAAGTATGCGTCTTCATGGCTAGAGGCTTATTTGAAAATTGGAAGTACGTTTTAAGCTATACTGTTTCGGCTAACGGTATTAAGCATGATTGCCTCATGAAAAAAGTTGAAGCGAACATAGAAGTTTCGCAAACGTTGGGGTTAAACGTACATACGTGCCATAATATGCGATCAAGGCTCAAATAATAGAGCTGCATTTAAGAAATGGGGCGTTAGCATAAACAAGCCGAGTTTCAATGTTAACGGTAAAGAAATATTTACAATATTCGATGCCCCACATCTTATAAAATCATTGAGAAACCTTTTAATAAAAAATAATTTAAACACGCCGGATGGAGATGTATCTTGGGATATAATAAGGAAGTTATACCAAATTGAGTCTAGAAACTCAACGAGGCTTTGTCCCAAAGTAACGGCGAAGCATATAAATCCAAACTCATTTGAAAAAATGAAAGTTAAATATGCAACACAAATATTTAGCCACACTGTTTCGGCCGCAATCCGAACAGTGATTGATTCTGGCGGATTTGTGGAATGCCGAAATAGCGCAGAAGCTACGGCAAATTTTATTGAAAAGGTTAATAAGCTCTTTGATTGCCTCAATAGCCATGTTTTGTATGAAAAAAATCCGTACAGGTGTGCACTGCAAAATAATAATAACGTTCACAATTACCTCTTAGAAATGAGGAATTATTTTGCAGAATTTAAATATCCACAAGTAGTACACTGCATTGACGGCATGATGTTAACAATTTCATCAGTACTTGCACTATCTGAAAGTGTGTGGAGCTCCGAAATCTTTTATTTATCAACCGCGAAATTGAATCAAGACCCCTTAGAAAACTTGTTTTATTTAATAAGGGCTCGCGGAGTAACAAATAACAATCCATCGATGTCAGAATTTAATACAATAATGTCAAAAATGCTATCAATGAAAATATTAACTTCGAAATCATTATCTGGTAATTGCGGCCCAGATGAAGATACAATGTTAATTAACGTTATCCAGGACTGCAGCTTGAATAAAACTTGCAAAGAGTTAAAAACCGGCGAAGACAATACCGATTTCGAGATGTTCTCAGATGACGAGACGGAAATTGAGCAAGTTTTGGATATTGCAACTGGTGACGAGTTTGATAGCAATGCCTTGCGATATTTTGCAGGCTATATATTGTTTAAAATTCTGGAAAAAAAAGATTGCGGAGTGTGTGCTGATCTATTAAAGAAAAAAATAGAAGCACAAACCTGTACGGAAAATTTTATACTGAATAAAAATTATGACTGCGCTGATAAAACTTTAAAACTTAAAGCTCCTTCTGACTACTATTTTTCTTTGATTGAAATACATTATTCTGTTTTTAAGAAAATATTTGAAAAAAAGCCACAGATGAACAGAATAAAGAAAACAATTATTCAATCTTGCATATCCTCCACTGAAAAATCCAGCATATATTCTAATTGGTTTTCGGTTAGCCATCCCTGTTATGAACACAGGATGAAAATGCTGGACGGATTTGTTTTAATATTATTGAGGAAAAACAGCAAATGGCTAACAGAAAAAATGTATTTCAAAGGAAAAGCTGCATCAGCAGCAGGTTCAAAGAAACTAAAAATACTCAAAGAATAATTTTTGGTTTTGTATATGTCTCATTTTATTATTAGTTTAGGAGTAGGTTATGTTAGGTGGGGAACAAGGAGATAGCCAATTAGTTTTGGTATCTAAAGTCGACTCGAAAGTCTTCATTGAAGACTCCATCGCAATCGCAATGGCCTCCTCGTGGTGTTCCCTGGATACCGACATAAATACATATATATATATATATACATATATAAGTACGTATATATATATATATGTATATATATCTGTAACAAATTCGAGGCGGCGACTTTTTAAAGTTCCAAAATATATAGGGAAATTATTAAATTAACGACAATAATTTAATAAAATCTCACAATAACCCAAAATAATAACAAGTGCCTGAAAAATTGTAAACAAAAAGGTAA